TACTAAAACACCTTTTCCTTTATGCCATATAAAAACTTGTGCCTATGCCTTCGTTTTCCATTCACCTATTGCAATTCGGTGAAAACTGTCCTCTCTTAGGGATGCCACATGTCAGCTGAATGTTAAATTCCGCTTTGTTTTAGGATTGCCTGCTCTGCAAGCAAATGAACCGACAAGCAGCAGACAGATGAACATATATGTCTGCTGCTGCTCTTCTGCTGCCCAGTCAACAGGCTGGGGGCAGGGAGATGACATCACTTTATTCCTTAATAAAGTTATATTAAAGTCAGGAGGATTTCAATCTTTTTCAAATGTTGATTAAAATACTTAAAATGGATTCTGCTCTTTGATGTTTAAAAATGTCAGTTTTCTGGAGAATCAGGAGGCCCCCTGAGCGCTGGCACTGATATCCTGTTTTAGGATGGCTCCTTTTTCTTGCAGGGTCCTATGGAGCCACCCGCATGTGTGCTATTAAGCTGCGTGTGTCTCCACAAACACACAGCCACATCAAGGCAAACCACTCTCCCGCTCCTCCGTCCTACAAGCTAGCAGAAGGACTGCTGCTGGAGACTACTCTGTGATCTTGTACTCCACAGGAGGTTCAGGGAACCTGAGCTGAGAGAGTTGGAGCTGTTAGGAAACATAATGGCTGTAAGTTCCTGGGCAAAATGTTAAAGAAATACTTTGCTGGGCAACATACTGTATATTTGGTTCATCTGAATATATAGGTAAAAAAACGGCACTCGCAAGAGGGTCTGTCCATCCAGTACTTTATTTGTAAAAAGGCATCACAGCAGCAAACAAACAAATGCTTACATGTTTCAGCCCCCAAACTAGGCCTTAATCGTTTGTTTGTTTGCTGCTGTTATGCCTTTTTACAAATAAAGTAGTGGATGGACGGACCCCCTTACGAGTGCCGTTTTTTTACCTATTGCTCAGTAAAGGTTCTGGCAGGAGGCTTTACTAGGCACCGAGGTTCAAGCAGCGGCATTGGAGACAAGAGGGTAGAGCTGCTCAATGTTTCTAAACTGCATCTGAATATATTATTGGAAAAAAATAAGAGTTTAACTCTTTAACTGCAACAGAGAAAGTGCAGTCCTCCTTCTGGTCTCCCCACACATGGCTACATGGCTTCAAAGCAATAACAGCTTTGGGAAGTGAAATGCTGCAGATTCTGAACTTTTGCCTTGGTTCCTGCCTGCTTTCAGGACTAAAAACAAAACACATTCTCCCTCTCATGGGCTACAGATCAGGTGCTTCTACTGCAAGTCTCCTTTTGACTTTCACCAAAGGCAGAACATTTGTGAATACACCATTTGAATGTAAAAATAATTCAATCATGCTGAATGAATGTATTAGGGGCCATTCACAATTCTGTGCTTAGACGCTCATTAATACGCTCCCATCCAAAACATTTTTTTTTGTGTTGGATGTAGTGGGTAAAGATTAGGACTTGTCAAATTTTTATCGTTGTCTTTGCCCCGTTAGGTTACCTTAATTTCTTGTTCTAAAGACAGTAGTCACACAGGTTCAAAGTGAAGAGAAAACTCTTTGTCTGCTGACCACTGTCACAATACAAAGGAAACAGCGGGTGATTTGTGATCTGGGATACGAGGAATCTGTTCTATTTTTTTCATTCAACCCATGGGTTGAATGAAAAAAACAGCACTGTATATATACCCAGCTTAACTTGTCACATGCAGGGTCATCGTCTTCTCTGGTGGTGCGTAGTTTTTTAATACTGCCAAAAGTTATAATGCCAGTGCTGCTCTCTGCGGAACTGCACTAAAAGCCTAGGCCGATGAGATGTGTACCCACAGGAGGTGTGTCCATGATGGTCATGGCTCACAGGAAGTGGGATGATCGACACTGGACATCATTCAGCTCAGAAGAGCTGTGGTAGCAGTGGTATTAAGCTGTGGGTTTTGGGGGACAGTGACAGAGAGAAGGAGTGTATTGCAGCAAAAGCTGCTTTTCTTTTTTTAAAGTTTGAGGAAATTGGGCACTCATATTTAAAAATTGGAGTTCTACTTTAATGACAGTAGCGTGATTGGTCACTCAGTGAACTAAATGGAGTTTTCATATTTCTTTTCAACAAGTAAATTAAAAGTGATGGTCTTCTGCCTTCATCTCCACCCTGGGTCCATGATTCATTGCTAATTAAAAGACCACACGTCTTGTAGAAATGTCCAACTAGACGCCAACACCAGATGTATAAAAATGAAACACTGTGTGATTAGGAAGTTCTCTAGAGGGAAGATATGGATCTGTGACTTATAGGATTAAATCCGGCTATAGAAAATAGATTTCTTGTTGCAGGACTGAGCAGATTGCTTCTGTCAGCGCAGTTCTGCAGATTTCATTAATATTATTTAACGTTGATACAGTTTCTCGCACCCCTGTTACCATGCAAAATTCAGCTATATAACACATTGGTTTTCTATTATTCTGAGAACTAATTAACATGTAAGATCTCTGTCTATGTTCGGGGAAGGAAATGTTCTTGGCTGTAATATATTGCTCTGCAGAGGTGAGAAATGTCATTAGCTGCCACAGACGGCAGCAATGAATGTCTGGCCCACTTAGAAGAAAAAAAACAAAACACATATTTTGCATGAAAAAGATGAATTTCGTCTAGGGAACAAGCAAGATTCACGTGATTTGTGTAATATATGATACTTGCCTTGTTTATGGTGGGCAAATTTATTCAAGTGATGCAACAGATTAGGATACTTCAACTACAAGGCAGCAACGGCTGCAGATTAGCGGACCATGTTAGGCTGTTGTCACAGCTCTGCTTTACCTAATAGATGTTGCTCCCTTTCTAGTGATTTTCAGCCAGAGAGGTAGTGATGCCAAAGGAAAAGGTAAATGGATTTCTACCAGTTCTGTTGCAGGTGACAAAATGGCCAGCATGATATGGTCCTTATACTTATAACAGTGGCCTGCTAGCTGGATCCCCCCGGCACTTTCCCATACATGTCCCCAAATAGTGTTTTAAATATTCTGATAGCTGTCCCCACCACGACACTATAAAGGAGCTTTAAAGTGAATCTGCTCTTTGCCACTGCAAAAAGAAACATAAACTTAATTTACTTTTGCTCACCCAGAGCACCGGTCACCCATTGGAAGCAAAAGGAAATCCCTGTGTAAGCTACAAGTCAATAGGATTGTACCATACTCAGGGCTATGTCTATGGACTCCTGAAGTGCTTGTTTGACAGCATTGCCGTTACATGAATCACATGCTTCTCCATACCCTAAAACAGTGCGTACTTTCTTCGACTTCCAGTCCTGAACAGATCTGTAGGGAGGGGAAGTTGCAAAGGAAAGGTATGTGCTGCTGGGGAGGGGAATATTTAAGCAAAGCACAGGTTTGCTTTAATGGACCCAAAGATATTACCATAGTTGCCAGGATAAAACAGTCCCCCCATTTTGCAAATCTTTTCATGGCCAGCACAAGTGCTGCAGTACTACTTCCCTGGTCTACAACAAAAACTTAAATTTGAACAGCTGCCTGAGCCACAGAACTTTCTAATATGGGAAGGAGGCACATCTTTCGGACAGGCTACTTTCAATCTACAAAAATGCAGCCCAATGAAGATTAAAAGAGCAATATCGATTAGTTAAAAAACCTAATGATTTTATTACTATTACACTTTTAGTAGTTTAATATTACTTTAATTTATAGAGGTCTTTACATCATGTCCAACATAGGGACATTAAGGAAAGAGAGTTGGTTCAGACCTTTCAAACTGAGGGACAGTTGGGATGCTATATAGTGAAACAAATAATATTAATAAGAGTGATAATAACTGTTAACCTTTACTATTCCTAGACCTAAGCACATAGCCCTCCCATTTAATTGTCTATTGCTAGGTGAAATAGAATTTTATCACACTGGAACTGAACAAGAACATGGCACCGATGGTCAACTTCCATTCTTGCTTATATCTGATTTTCTGTAGATTTTGTCAGCAGATACATCTATCAGATCCTATCTGGGAAGTATTTACACAACGTCCTCTGCTCTCCAACACAAAGCTTTCAAAGATGCAGACTACGGAAGGGAAAAGAAAAGGACATCATTGTTCTCCGGTGTGGTTACTGCATCCAAAGTGTGAAAACTGTGGGCCGAAAATGTGTTCAGTGCTGTGAGCAGAAAGCTGTGAAGGACAGTTGGTTGCACATTACCACTTGTAGAAGTCACTGGGCTTGCCAAGTTTTCATCTCCACTACATGGAAACGTTCATGCACCAATTTCTCTGCTCCGAGAACTCGCTGTGCTTAAACAGCACTTTCTACTTCAATTCCTTTTTTTACTGGAAATCCCTTCTAACGACTAAAGGATAATATTGACATGGAGTTGAGGTTTAATACCACTACTAGGGTTTATTTGGAATATGCAAAATAGAATTTTACAAATAATTCATAATTTGCTTTGTTTTCACTGTGGATAAGTCTTAAAGTCAGATGTTATAATTGGATCTGTAATGGCATCACCAGATGGGCAAAATTAGACTTTCTGGTGGGAATATCTTATTGGCTGTAATGTGATAGACTTACAATTTTCCACCTGGCTCCTTTAACATAAGTCAGTTGAAACATTGACTTTAGTTGAGTCAGGTGGTGCAGGCATGGCCACACATGGTTCAAATTCTATCCCATTCATTCCGATTAATTTGTGGATTCCAGAAGCCTAGGGAGTTTAACTTTACCAGGAAGTTGGTGGGATAAAGGCTTATTGTAGTATTTTCAGGACATTATGTGGCTGAAAGTTGGGTTAACTGAAGTAGGGACCATTTTTTTAAATTTCTAATCATCTATAGATTGACACTAACATCTCATGTACCCAGGTAAATCCAGAATTAAGGAAGCCACTTCCTTTAAGACCCCGGATTCAAGCCTGCCCTAAACTTCTGAATCTGCTTGGTTACTGTGGAATAATGGTTCCAGTTCTTATTAGGATCACATTGATATAGCTTGTGTTAAGTCACTTACCTCCGGGAAATCCATCCCATATTTCCAAATAATCATATCGGCACGTTAGGCTTGCTGGGCTATTAGAATCCAATTCAAGTTCAAATCCTTCAAACTCCACGATAATTTCTGACATCTTTTGTGCAAAGATGGTGTATGTACATTCCAAAGCATTGGGGTACTTTTCTGGGTAGCCAGGAGATTTTATCACTCCAGTGGGTTCTGTAAAGTTGCGGGAGCACTCCGGACCTACAAAAAGAAAAGAAAACATGCGCCTGATTAGCTGAAACCTGCTTTAAAAGAAACCGGGGATTTCATTTCATATTTCCACAGGTCTCACAACTAATTGCAAGCAACGAGGGCTTTGTATTAACACGTCTCACAAAGCCTGCTAGTCGGATCTGAATTTCCATTTGTACGTAGCAATTTAAGCAGAAGAATTGTGACAAATATTAAGTCATGTGGGAACAATAAAAATTCAACTTGTAAAAATTTTGACGTATCCCTCGAGATATAATTACAGCCCCTTGAATCTTAAATCTTTAAAGCTGGAGGTTGACAGCCATTTATTTTTGAATTACGGAGAAGACTCTGCACAAGTGGGCGATGTAGAGGGAGAATTTTTCTACTACGTTTGTGCTGCAGAAAACCTCTAAACGTGCCAGATGTGACCTCTGCCTTATGACCAAGTTAATGTGAAAGGCAATTCTTGGTCGTATCCAGGGTGAATGAGTGTTTCTAAGCTATGTTGACACAGGTGGAGCATTAAAGTGTTTTCTATTGGGCGCCGGCATGATAAACTGTCCGATTACAGCCGGTGTGGCCACAAGTGCATCCACGCCAGCGTTCATATGCTAACCTTCTGCAAACTTTGGAAGCATTAGCCGCTTTAGAAAGTTCTCCCATAAAACAGATGAAGTAAATACATAAACTATCCGTATATCTTGTTTATTCACGTCAAAGCAGGAAATTGTCAGCTGGCATAAATTACATTTCATGTATACTGAGACAATATATTGCAACTTTGCAAGTTTAATGTTTGGAAGATTTAAAGGGGGTTGTCCACCTTCCCATGAGATTAAGTTATTGCATGCTATTTTCTTTATAATTCATCTGGCTGGTTTACATCTGTGATTTATATTCCTGAATATCCATAAATGCACATCAGTGGGGTTCATTTGTGCAGAGATAAAGAACATGTTGTGCTATGCATATCATCCAATCGTATATTCCACCAATTGTTCACTGAGTTAATGTAGTTTTAAAAAAAATTACAAACATCCAATTTGTAACAATGAGAACCCCTTTCCATCCTTTGCATTTGCTCTCTCTATCCCTTTCTCTCACTTTCTCTCTCCATAAATGACTTCTCACTGTTGCACCAAGCATTAAGAATGGTAGGGGAGGTATTCAGAGCCCCTGAAGATTTGTTTGTCTCTAATTGTATTTTTGAAAGTTAATGTTGAATTGTATCTAAACTACAATAAAGTTTTGGTCTGTTAAATATACAATTGAATGGGTTGTGTTATATCTGTCTGGTAAGTGGCAAAAACACCTGTTGAACCTGCCAGAAATGTAGTAAGCCCATACCTTCCTGGGCTCTCTGCCAGGTCTGCACTATTATCAGTTACATTGTTCCCATTTCTCTTTCTGGACTACAGAACTCAATGAGGTGCGGCAGGCGGCTGTGTTAGAGCTGTGCTGTCAGTGGCTCTCTGTCTGGTCCCACCTAGCTCCCTGACCCCACTGGTTGCCAGGAGCTCGGTAGCATAGTAACCTACTGGGCAACTGATGATGTCAGTGAGCTGGGCAGGAAGGCACACAGTCACAGTTTGCTAAGAGCTCTTAGCAGCCTGAGACGCTGTGGCTGCCCCTCTGCTACCTGCCGCCCCCCCAGTAAAATGCCGCCTGTCTCCTTATAGGGATGGCCTTGGGTGCTGTCACCTCAGGACAGGAAGTGTGTTATTGGCAGGTTCACAGGGTGGAAATAAAGGGAAAATAATGTAAAAACTACATTTGTTCTTGAGTCACTGTTCCGTATTTTGGCATGTCATGCTCAAACCTGCTGCCATTTTCCCCTCAACTTTCTGTGAGATTTGCCAACTGCTAGAAAAATGGATTTGGCATGTTGGAGGGGCAATGAGAATACCAGCATTGCCAGGGTCTTTAAATAGACAGTCCTGATCCCCCCAAGGGGCTGTGGCAGTAGGTATTGTTGACAGCATGAATTGTGCGGTTGCTGAAGATCTGTGTGGCATATGAGTGAGGAACCAAACCAAGGAAACATACTTATTGAAAATGCCGGCTGGCTGAACTTTCCCAATGCACTGACAATATTTTACTCATCCCTGTGAATATGCAGTTCCCTGCATTACAACTCTCACACAATCTTCCTGCAACTCAACATCTGAACAATGTAAACTTATCCTTGCATGCTGAAAGCAATGCATGATGGGCTATTTAGTCTTGAGAAATGGAGATTGCATCACATCAAGCAGCAGAGAAAGAGATGCAAAGCACACTGGGAATCCAGGAAGTTGATGAAAGTGATGGGCAGACAGAAGGCAGCACTCACGACATAAAAGGGATTTTTTTCAAGTAAGCTTTGATTGCATTATCAGAAACAGCTCTAGTATGTATTCCTGTTACAATGCTGATGTCATAACAAGAGAGGATATGCTGGGACTTTACATCTCCTTTAACAATGTTTTATAAAACTGAACTCCAGTCAAACCAACTGCTCTGTCCTGTTATATGTTCCTAACAACAATGTGCAAAGCAATAGTAGAGTGCTGACTGGCTTAAAGTGTTGTCCCTTCTTCTACCAGCCTGCTGTGCAGGCAATTGCAGGATGATAACATGAAGTTAGATTCAGCTTTTTTATACTGGTTGCATTTAAAATCTATATTTTTCTTGGATATTTATATCCCGTGGGGAACTTTATATAAATAAACGCAAATATTTAAAAACTGCTAAACATAGGCCAGTATCATGCACTGTTGCAATATCATATTACTATCGTTTCTCACGGGTCCAGCACTGTGAAAATAAAAGACGCCATGTATGCACTCCAGGTATTTACACCCTAGCAAAAGCATCAGCTCAACATTAGCTCAAATGACTCTGGACAAATTACACTGAGTTCAATGAAGTGTTTGGAGACACTGGTGGAATTTTAACGACTGGGGTTATTAGAAAAGGTCACGTTTATGTCACAGCAGGCTGGCTTTAAACACTTTCAGTGTAAGTAAACCTAACAAGGTGAGTTTTCACTCTCTGAATCTCTTTACACTTTGCCCTCGCTGACCGCAAAGGGAACAAAATGACTGGCAGGTTTTCTTTAAGGGAACGAAAAAAGGTTAATAGTTTTATTTTGCTTACTTTTGACCTTTTTCTTTCTTATTTTGATAGTGCGTTTTGGAATTTGTCTGTTTCGCTATACCATATAAATATTTTGTTATATCTGTTCCATATGTGCAAAAGCATATCTGCTGATCCTGCCAGAAATGTAGTGAGCTGATAACTTCCTACGTACTCTGCCTGTGCTGCACTCAATTAGCTTTGTTCCAACTACACACTGTGAACGACACAATAAGACCTCCATGTTACTGAGATGAGGGGATGGGGGTGTTTAGTGGAACAAACACTTCCTTCCTAGGGTGACTACGCTGCTCCTCCATAGACATAGCACAGTGAGAAAGTGGTGTCACTCTAGGACAAGAAGTGTGTTATGGTGTTCACCAAGTGAAAATAAAGGGAACATAAACTATTGCAGACACCACATTTAGGGACTGGTAAGCTGTGATATATTGCATTTTGTTCTTGGGTTTAGATACGATTTAAAGTAAATTTGTTGTTAAAAGAAAGAAGAAAGTAAAGGGGATAAGGAGAGAAGATAAGAAGAGGAAGGGTGGATGAGAGGAAGTAAGATAAGGAAAAAGAGGAAGGAAGGAAAAAGAGGATGAAAAGAAAGGAAGGAAAAGGGAGGGCAGAAAGGAAGGAAAAAGGAAATGAAGGAAAAAGAGAAGGAAGGAAGAAGAGTAAGAAAGGAAGGAAGGAAAAAGGGAAGGAAGGAAGAAAAGGACGAAAGAAAGGAAGGAAGGAAAAAGGGAAGGAAGGAAGAGAAGGAAGAAAGGAAGGAAAAAGGGAAAGAAGGAAGAAATGAAGGAAGGATGAATAGGAAGAAAGGAAGGAAAGAGGGAAGGAAGAAAAGGAAGGAAGAAAGGAAGGAAGAGAGGAAGAGGAAGAAAGTAATTAAAAAGTCAAGGAAGGAAGATGGGAATGAACTAAGGAAGAAGAGGAGGAAAAAAAGTAAGGACACAAAAGAAATAAGAGAAGGGAAGAAGAAAGGGAGGAAGGAAGGAAGGAAGAAGAAGAAGAAGAAGAAAGTAAGGAAAAAGGCAAGGAAGGAATAAGGGAAGGAAGTAAAAGGAAGAAAAAAGAAAAGGGAAGGAAGGAGGTAGAGGAAAGAAGGAAGAAGGGAAAGAAGGAAAAAGGTAAGGAAAGAAGAAGGTAAGGAAGAAACAGAAGAAAGGGAAAAAAAGAGACGGAAGGAAGGAGGATATAAACACAGTTCATTGCAAAACTTTGTAATAATAATAACAACAACAGAACAGACATTGAGAAGGAATTAAGAAAACTAATACCAGGTTGTAGCTGTTTATACAAGTCAGCAGGGTTCGATACAAGAATACCTGCAATCAGTACAATATAAATATAACCGGAAAAGGCGATAAAGTCAGCCTGGCATGGAAAGCGCGAAGGGTCCATTGATTTAGATTAGAAAAGGTCCTGAGACAGGTATCATTATAACACATGCTGTGGATATGAGCAACTACCTTGATTTAATGAAGCTTTATATCCCTCTGTTATTTCTTTCCACACGGCAATATGTTACTTCCAGCCATGCATCAAGTCAGATTACTTGTTTAAATGCACATCAAGCCACAGCAGGGTTTTGATTATCCAATATTGTGTCAAAGTAAGTCCTAAATCAAGCAAACGTTCCTTCGATGTGCCACTGTTACAGCGGCATTAAAGACAAATATAGCTCTGTCTGTTCAGGCATAAACCTGTATTCTCTTTCCTGATAAACTCTATATTTGCTCAGTGACATCATACAACTGATTACTAATTCTTATGTCTATAGATGTATGGGTGTAAATAATCATGTAGAATGATGTCATGAGCTAAACGTTTGCTCTTAACCAATGTCTTACTCTTGGATTTGACGCTGTGTATTAAACAATGGCACGTATAGCATCCTTACAGGCAACATAAGAGTACTGCCACCTATTTGGTTTATGCTTGACCTTACACACCAAGACTATTTTAATACTATAAGCACTATGACTATATTAATGCATTAACAAACCAGGACTATTTTTATAATAGAAAAGGTGCATTTGCACCACTCTAATGGGAACAAATGCCCATGGGTATTTAAAGCCAAACATTTTATCATATCTTGACTTTCAGATGCTCTAAGAAGCCAGCACATTTCTTCTGTTCAAGAATCCAAAGCAAATGATGGCTGTTTCTCAGGGCAACTACTTCTGTATTGCCTTCAGTAGAAGTATTGGTCAGTTGTTGTGGTCAATTGTATAGATAAGTAAAATCGTTTTTTTTAATTTCCCTATAATTTTGGCCAGGCATTTCAACAGACGTTTGCCATTTTGGAAAAATGCATTGAAGTCAGTGAATCAATGAGGACTAATGGCGAAATTAAGGTGGTTTTTAAGTGTGCAATGGGCTTTAAATAGCTCCTGAGGATTACCAAAGCTCCTTCCAACTATCGCAATCAAATACGGTACACACATACAGAAAACACACAATTTCAAAGATGATTAAATGAAATATACTAAAATAGTCCAAACACATGCACACACGTATAACTATTTATCTACATATATATATATGTTAAGCTAGATATGTTGACCAGTAGGGGTGAGAAAAGATTACAAAAAGTACGCTACAGTGGAAATTTGGCTCACTAATCCACCTAGTAGAATAGAGGTATATATATATATATATACCTCTATTCTACTAGGTGGATTAGTGAGCCAAATTTCCACTGTAGCGTACTTTTTGTAATCTTTTCTCACCCCTACTGGTCAACATATCTAGCTTAACATGCAATATCTTATAAACAAACTGTCAGCATACCAATTTTGGTTGGAATGAACCATTTTTTGCTTTTCCTTTAGCAAATGATCATCATTCACTTTATATAATGTTGACTTGATTACATGAGCACTTACAAAGACAGTTGACCATATGACTTTTTCGTTGTCAATACGTTTTTAAATTGTAATCATAGACAACGCTGAACATCAGCATTAACGCTTTGCTATACTTGAATCCAGACACACATACAGTGAGTAAGTACGTGCAGTATGTGCATTATATTAACTAACGGTAATATTAAACCCTTGTAAATGATCCCACGCTGCTGCCTCTACAGGCTTTTCCAGCAGCAGGAGAAGTAGACTGCGGTATTTTCAATATCAATGTGAAGTTGAATTGAACAGCTGTGTAAACATCACACTTCACTAGCTGCTAGAAGGGGCATGAAGAGACTCACACTGGGCTTTCTGAGGGGAGCGACTACACTGGAGGGGTAGGAAATTGAAGATCCTGTGATAAGTCAGGGCATAACCTTCATGAAAATAACTTACTCTAACTTTTAAGTATTATTCTCCAAATGTCATCCTATATGATGACCTTTCACTGTGTTCTCTAATTACCAGACAAAATAAATAAATTTTTGTATGTTTGCTGTAAAGTAGTTACCGCTCTAAGATCACTCCTGTGATAGACTACAATCTCACATTCAGTTTACTAATTTGTATTGGGATTGAACACGGGAGTGAGCTTGGGGTGGTGGCTACTTTACAACACACACAGGGACCATGGGGACCAAAAGTAGCCACCCCCCAGAAGGAAGGACAGTGTCAGTATGAATTCAGAGATGGTTTGAGGATCTACAGCCCAGTGATACACAAATAAGATAATTTTTTTGTTAACAGTGAAGGTACTTTAATGTATTTTTAAGATTTAACTCCTGGGTTAAGTGTCATTTTAAACCTCAAATATGTATTGGGCATTGATATTCATTGCAGGTGTTTCAAGTTAATTAACCCAAGGTCCCCTTGTTTTTTCTATCTTCTGCCAATGTAAAAATTCATAATATATTAGTTTGAAACTATTTCTTAAAGTAAGCCTGCCACAAACATGGGGACATTTAGACTGAGAACATGATGAAAAGAATAGATATTTTAGTGAAAATATTATCTAATAGTAACACTCCAGAAGATATACATGCAGCTAAAGTTATCAATAAATCTCAATTGCTCCTTTAAAAGTCAATACGGGCCCTTCTCAAGCCTGCCTATTGGATTTTTAATGCAATGGTCTGACTTTTTTGTCCAAAAAGAACACGAGAGGTAAAAGGGGACAGGATCAAGTTCTACTTTTACAGGAAATATCAAAATATCCACGTCTGGAAATACTGATTGTTTTGATATACGGTTTTCACTGAAGGTAACCTCTGCTTATGTATATTTAAACATAATGAGGGGAATTTATCAAAACTGGAGCAGATGTGCATGACAACCAATCAGCTGCTATCTTCAGTTTGTTCAGTTAAGATTTGAAAATAAAAGAGAGAAGCTGATTGGTTGCCATGCACTTCTGCTCCAGTTTTGTCTGCTTCAGTTTTGATAAATTCCCCCCACTGTAAATTAGTCAGGAATTAACAAGGTTTGTTTACTTTAAGACCCTTAGGGGTATCCTTTCTAGTATTGAAACACACATGAAGCTAGAGACCTGTGCCAAGGACAGTAGCAGTCTTCGGTGCCCTTTCTACCAAGCATTCATCTATTACACTGTGTATTATCTTAAATTCACCATTTTAAACAGCAAAACCACACTTTCCTTTACAGAAGACAGTGTCCTAGGTAGGAATAATCCCAGCTGTAAAATGTAAGCTGTTCTGGGAATTTTAGTTTTTCTAAACATTATTTTAGGAAAAGAGTTCTATATATTACAGAGCAATACCAGAAACCTGAAAAATCAAACAACATTTATCAGAAGTGCCTGGAATGCAGCTAAGAATTTGTGACACAGGCAAAGCAACACGTTCCAGACCATTGCAGCTACACTGGGCTCTCCTGAAATATCTGTACAATGAAGGAAAATAATTCAAGGATCATCCCACTGAAAACACACAAACGTTATGGTTGGCTGGTCACCTTTGTTACTGTTTCCACCATGGGGTCATTGATGTATATGCGTGCTGAAGATTTAAGGCCGGTGCACACCTAGGCGATCTGTCACTGCGTGGCAATCGTGCACGATAACGCACGGATTGCTGTGCGGTCACGGAGTCGCCCATCACAGATGATTGCACTGTGGTTGCATTATTTTCTAATGGCACCCTAGTCGCACCGCCGCGATTCCGCCCGTGAATGCGAACACGCTAAAATAGCCGCGTGTCATGTAACATGTAGATTTTTTCTGTGATTGCCACGCGGATGGCCCCCCCTTTGAAATCAATAGGGCCGTGTGGCAATCGCTGTCTGTAATTGTGCAGTACAACGCGATCCCTGGGCGCGCGATCCCTGATCGCCCTAGACCAACCAACATACACCCTACATAGCTGAAATTGCCATGCTATCTATAGTAGAAAGTAAGAATAAAGAAAAATAATAGAACAAAGGTGGCGTCTCCAATAAACATATGCTACTGCAGGGCTGGACATAAACCATGAGCCAGTTAGCCAGTACTCCTGAAAAATTGCAACTGGCACCAAACTTTTGAAGTTTTGTCTAGTTGTTTTCAATGAAGCTGCAGTCCAAAACGAAATCCTGCAGGCGGCTCCTGGATTGGACCTGCTGGCTCTGGAATTCCATATTGATTTTTCCACCCCTGAGCTACTGTATAGGGCCCTGTGCCAGCGCCATAAAAACATGGTTCGATCAGCCTTGACTGGTCTGCACAGAGCACTGATATCAACCCTATTGAATTGGAACGTCTACTATGAGCCTGGTCTTTGGGTCCAACATCTATGCCTGACCACTAATATGTTCTTTTGACTGATTTGGACACAAATTTCCACACATACCAAAATGTTCTGAAACGTCTTCATAGAAAAGTGGAGACTGGTATAGCCCCAAAGATGGGGGCAGTGGAGACAACCCATGAAATAGGATGTCCAACCAAGCTCACATAAGTGGGATGGTCAGGTATCCACAATTTTTGGGATATTTAGTATATAAAAATAAAAAGATGCTTTTTTTTTTGTAAATAATGATAATATATGTACTAGACATTTGAATTTAGAAGAATATAAGTGTATTTTAGCATGTAACATGCCATACGTGTAAATTGTGTACTTTGGGACTGACCTGTTTTAAAAAGCTCATAGCGAATCGAAAATCCAGCACCATGCGTTTCGTAGTCTGATACAAATTTGATAAACAAGGAAGGTCCATGAGAGACAAGAGGCGGCGGTGCGATCTTCCCGCAGAATTTCCCCAAGAAGCGGCCACTTGCATTATCTCCATCATACAATTCCACAAAGTCATATCTGGTAAAGAAAGGACAGAACAATGGTTTGGTCATTCACATGTTTAGAAGATAATGGCTACTTTAGACTACTTAAAAGTGTATATAAACCCTTATAATGAACTTCCCCTACTTGTTCCCCTTCAGTCTGTTAAATATACCATTAGAAAACATTTTGTTATATCTGTTCATCAACTTTTGTATCAGCAACAAAGAACTGTCCTATCCACATTTCCTGTGTTATCTCAAGACGTCCTCCCAGTTCTTATCTTGAACAGTTAGTGCATATGCTGTTGGCATGATGAGAATGGGTGAGATTCAGTAGTTTGAATCAGACAACTGAGTGGGGTGACACCAAGTTTTGCAATTATTGTGCACAATAAGGCATGTGATGTTTTTCCCAAGAGGAAATTAGGAGCTGGGTACATTTCTGGCAGATCATCTTTCTGTGCTTGCAGGGCCTGTTAAAGGGATAAAACATGTATATGTGTTGCCGAGACATACAACATATATATTTTTTTGCCTTGACTTACACTTTAACACTTTGCTGTTTAGCACTGAATACATTTGTGCATATTTATAAATTTTCTGACCATCAACATCAATGCTGCAAGACCATACATAAGAAATGATTGCTATATTAAACATGTGACTCATCTCATTTTATCAAGTAGATTGTATCTAACATCTTTTTCAATGTGCCATTTCTGTGCTCATCCAGTAACTGTTTTTGGTAGCCGTATCCAAACCTTGCTTTTTCAATAAACACAGTGCCCCTATGATTTTTGATAAAAAGCAAAAACACATTTATCTCATAGATTTGGAATGCAAAGCTGACTTTACTGTGGGGGTACCAATGCTTGTAAAACCTGATTTTTAATGATTAATTAGCCTGGCATGACTTTACAGGGTTAACTGTAACCTTACATCATCATACATGTACTGCTGAACCAATTATGTCATCAAATGGAAGCTGTATTCATTGGGAACCTGGGGATTTCCTGAGAAGATCACAATGATCAAGACTTTTGTAAAGGTTTATCTGGTGAGATATTTAAATGGCTCCTGTGCCAACAACTTTGTTGATGAAAGGAAGACAGTAATGAACTAGAATAATCCTAGATCAGTCATTAAATATACATTTACTTAAATATATATTTACATTTGGATAACTCCCTACCATGATCACATACCGTATACTCTAAATTATTCCTTAGTGGGATAGGACATTCCCTGTTTTGGGCACCTGGCCTCACATGGCTTAGCAATAGGTGTTCCAAGAAAATCAGCAACAAGGTAAATTAAATTCATAGTGTGGTCTGGTCCTATACCAGGTGGCCTGGTAACTATACTTGGATGAAAGGTAAGATGTCCTGAGTTTGTGGGCTTTGTTCCTTTTTGTATTTTACAGCTTATATTGAGCATAAACAGTAATTGAGAGGGGCCTTAGATGCTTTTCACATGTCTGATCAGGAGGGGATCTGTGCACCACTGTGACATCCGTGTCTGTCCAGTTTTTTTCTACATCACGCGATGGAAGAGAGAACTAAAATTGCCGAACCCCATGCCAGTCTATCGGGAATCAGATGTAAACGGACATGTGTCCTTTTACATCATATTACCCCCAGTCCGGCACAATCAGTTCCAGTAAAACAGATCTCTGATCTATTTGTTTTTCTGGACATGGCCGGAGTCGGGGATAATCGGGTGTTAACGGACGCCCATCCGTTTAGATCTGGATGCCCATAGACTAGCATTGGGCATCTGATTGGGTCCGAAAAACTGACAGCCAGACTTGATCAGACGGCCGATGTAAAACAGGCCTTAATCTCATAGGCAATCAGTGTTTTCTATGTACCGGGCAGTGTGGATGGATCTACATGCAGTTTTAGCCATCACTTATTGATCAGATTTGTTATCATTCCTTTAGTTTCTAGCATCAAAATTTGCACTGTGCACATCTATTTTAGGCCACAGTGGTTGGCTGGTGTAGCCTCATGTATTTATAAGGCACTGAGTAACTGGCAGGTGTAGACCTTTAAAAGCCTATCTGGACTGGGTATTAGGTTTTTCCTCATTGTGCTATAGCAAATTTAAATTTAAATAGTCAAGAAATACAAAGAGAAGATGATTGAATGAAGAAAAGGGTCAGGGATTTGGCAACCTTTGTAAGAGAATAATAAAAGAAAAAAAATTAGCACTGAAATTAATTTAATAGATCCGGTTTAACAAGATAAAACTTACAGTACTAAAGAAAAATGCAGCATCACACAGAAAAGATGAAAGATTAAAAACATCTTTCCATAAAATATTAATCTTGGATCTAAATGAAATGCAATAATTCTAGCTAAATGACTGCAGCTATTTAGCTGTAAGATGTATGTGCTTTTAAAATGTATCACGTAAGAGGCACAACAAAATGTAATTATTAGCTCTATGTTTCTGAAACTAATGTAATCATGCATTTTTCCATTTGTACGCTATTTCCTACATATATTTTGACTTCAACACAATTAATAAAATATAAAAAATACTTATGAGGTAAATTCTTGAGTCAGATTTTGTTCTCGTTTTATATTATTATTATTATTTCTTTTACTTTCAGCTATTAATGCCGCTTTCAGCGGCCTTGTACTGAGCCTTCTTAAGCACAAGACAAATGTTCAGTAGATGTCCACTGGGACCAAGATGGCAATGATATCACTGGTTAGAGTAGGCAGGTAATGGGTCTTCTATGAAAAAAAATGCATTACCTCATCAAGTTAATTTGTATTCCAGTATTGCTGAACATCAAAAAGAAAGAAAAATTACACTGGTGGGTCATACACATTAGCATATGTGGATTATTGAATTAGATGCACGTCGTTCAATACATTTGGGATGTTGTGGTGGATCTTGGTACTTGCTCTGCCTAAATATGCCTTGTTATTGCAAATTCATAGCAAATGGCTTGGAAGTTAAAGACTATTTGGAATTCCATGACAAATAAGCCTATGTCTGTTCTGCTTTTCCTGACTGATACGGGCTGCACGAAAACACTACATCTATTATTCTTCCATAAACGATTGCGCGCAATAAAACTGGAATGATTGCACGGATAAAAAAGTCACTTCCTGTAACTTTATAAGCTAAATGGCCGAGTTACAATTTTCCACGAACCCTTTGGCAGTGTAGTTGTGCGTGAAGCATATATAAATTATGTGTATTACATTTGTTTGGCCTGAACTCATTAGTGACTGGTTTCATTTCATCTGTTGCTATTTTCTAAACTGTGTGTTTGGCCTCTGGAAAGTACTTGGTTCTGATCATTTCCATGCACAAGACAGCAGTTTCTGAGTACACCTGGGGCCTTCACACAATGAAGGCCACCGTTTTGTGGCTTCAGCGAATTGTATGAGAATGCAGTCTGTACAATGAAGCATGGAGCCTTCGAGATGTTGCAGCACAGTCAAACAAGAACATTTTGTATGTAACTTGGCTCAGGGGACATTTATTGAATGGCTTGAATTATTACTTCAGCACTCATTTTGTGCAGCTGTGTAGATTGCTGTGGGTAGCCTTTTTTCTAAATGTCCCAGGCTTTTATATTGTTAAAGAGGCCAGGTGTTTCCAGGTTCTAGGCACCATACTCTTACTTCAGGGATGTCTGCACAGCTCAGAACCGTGGGACAAGAGTCTGTACACTTTCACATCAGCATACTTTTTGGGTGGTGGTCTGACCACCTTTTGCTTTGCAATGTTGGCCTACGCCCCATTATATATTATGTTATAGAAAGAAGAGCTTTCCTCTCATTAAACCTGAGCTTGAGAAATCTTCTCCTGACCCCTAATGTGACAAAAGGTATCCAAAACTTTCCTTCACAGAGCAAGAGGTCTGGTCCCTGATGTGACCGGGTAAATCTTTAGAACTGCTGGAAACCTTCTGAGTAGGACTGAAACTCAACTTTTGAAAATACAGATCAGCATTTTCACTTTATTATAATGCCATCTATTATTGGTATCTTAATATCAGGTCATTTCTAACAATCACCTCAAATCAGCCTCAACTCGGCCTGTCTATATTGGGTTTCTATCACAGTCTTCCCTTCCAGAGTAGACGACAATCACAGGTATTGCACTCTGAAGACACATCCCAACAATTGAACATAATAGATGCTTTTCACTGTGTCATTTGAAGTTATAAACTGATAAAAAATAAAGACATACACATAAGTACATGCCTTGACATAATTTTGCCTGCGCAAAAAATCCCGCAGTGAAAGTACAAAATTCCCTGTGTTATTGTTTCCTGTGCATAAGAGACAGAACGCCCCAGAAACAAGAGCTCTGGCCACTAGGGAGCATGCGTCCTGGCGAGCCTGTGGCAAGATCACGGCTGTATATTTAATTCTGTATAGCAAATCTACAAAAGGTACACATCATAGTCTTTCGGGGCCAGTACAAATTATTTTTAAAAGACATATATAGCACTGACAGGAAGCTGCCCTCCTAGGCCATTAAGAAACAGTTGTCAACAGACAGGTTACTGGAAGAAAGGATCATTAAAAATAACCCAGAAAGGGTTGATACAAAACAAATTATTTGAACTGTCAAAAAAACTGAAGGAAGTTAAACATTTTTTAACAATCGCAGCTATTTTTATTTAACCTAGTCGTGCTTATGAAGGAGCAACTCAGTTTTAAGCAGAGTAAGGAAGGATTTTAGCCACATCTAGGTCTGCACTGCTGTTTTAGATTTCAGCAAAAAGATACTGTATCTCTCCATCCCTGCATGGACCATAATGGACTGAGCTTGCCATCCAGGCTAAGCTGCAGCTGTCACTAAAAAATATGAGTTTTCCATATACTGCTATAAGATTCTACTAAAAAGAATAGGACACATTTCTAGAAAGGAAAATACAGGGCACTCTACAGACATTGTACTAACGTTATCCATTTTCATAGGGTTAGCTTCATGCTCCTGTTGTAGCAGTTGTGCAGTGTGTCCAAATATGATGCACTAAGTATGACTGTGTTGTCCAGG